ACACACACACACATCCCTTTTTAGATATGCACTTTCTGTAGTCGATACTTTTCCGTCATGAATACACTTCCAATGTTTCAGCCGGATTACGTTTACGCTTACCCTGACGTTGTAGTTTGATTTTGTCGACTGCACGATATAATAGCGTCTGCAAGAAAAAGAGTGGCATGACGCAAGTCGTTCCACCAGAAATTTGGAAACGGCATGCTGTACTGCTTGTCATTCGCACCGAAAGCTCCAATACGAAAATTTCAGTGTGTTTGTGTGTCAATCTGAGGACAGTGCATAGAATTCTGTGTCCCCAAATGATGTACCGGGAATGATGAAAACCAAATATCCAGTCAACATCATGGTGTTTGCTGTGATCACTAGCGATGGCAACGTTATGCCTCCATTCATCTTTCCACATAGCCTCAGACTCGACACGGGGGCCTAGATTAAAATGCCTTGAGGACGTAGTACTGCTCTGGATCAAGAGGGTAGCTTCTAGAAAATCCTATGTCTGACAATAGAAGTCTGCACCATGCCACACAAGCAGAAGAACCCAGTCATGGCTGCCAGACAATTTCTGTGATCACACCATCCTTACATCTGGCCACCTAACTCCCCAGACTGCAACCTCTTTGATTATTATGTGTGGGGCGCAGTTGAGCGAGAGATTAACAAAAAATACCTTGTAACACCGAAGATGAACTGAAGGCAAACATTATAGCGACATTCACCTTCTTAAAAAAGGAGACCACCCAGAAGAGTTGTAGAAGATTCCGAAGTCATTTAGAGGCCGTGGTTGAAGCCAATGGCGATTTTATTAAATAAATTTATTCTTTAGAATTTCAAGATGTTTTTGTGAAATTTTTGGTAAATATATCTTAAAATAAGACATCATTGTTACTTTCATTTTTGTGTAATTTACACGACAATTCATCCATCGCACCATATATATATATATATATATATATATATATATACTTTTTTTAAAATTAGGATTGTTAAATATTTTGGGTTTTTGATTTTCGTCTTAAGTGCAGATAGCATTAATTCGGTTCTATAATTGAGTTGAAAATCCCGTAATGTCCGCTTGGCTCTATTTTGTAAACCCACTGTATCTTCAGTTAATACGTCGGTTTGTTTTAAAATATTTGAATTCTGATATATTTTTATAATTCATTTTTGGCTCGTCTTTTTTGTTGTTTTTAATCACAAACTATGAGATAAAATAAACGAGATAAAAATGGATGACATTTTAAAGCAGTTCTTTTAAAAAAGCCCAATGTATGCCGTGTAGATCTGCAAGCTGATAATACAAAGAAAAGTTAACTTCAATAACCCCAAATAATCCGCTTGGAAATGATAATCTGATTAATAATGATTTGATAATGATAAGAATAGGGATAATCGTAAATGGAAAATTAGTTAAAGAAACCTTATCACTTGGTTGGATAATAGAAATCGACATTTTCTTTTCTTTTTATTTTGTGTGTATTATATTCTTTTATGCAGATTAACGAACAGTTCAAAGCGAACACTTGTATGCCAATCAACCGTGTAAGTTGTGTGTGTCCAACCTGAGTGTAAAGCAGAGCGGGGGAGTAGATTGTCCTTAATTGGCATCTTTAGTCTTACACCCTGAATTGCAACGTTCTTCAGGTTCAGTTTCCAAGGTGATAGAGATCAAAACGGCAGCGACATGACAGAAATGCCTCGTTTTCTATCAGCGCCGTAAATGTCGTTTTTTGAATCGTTTGCTGAGATCGAAGCGTCCTTTTCTAGCTGATAAGTTGATCTTGGCTCAACGCCGAGGACGTAAATCGCGGATCAAACGACTGTTGGACGTGTGAAAAGATACAAAAACGCTCTTCATACAACGTAGACATAAAAGCATCTTGGCTTGTTAAATAAATTATTCAATCGGTTTTTTTTAAAGAGGCTGAACAAAAATAAGACCGTTCGCATGAAATTGGTTAGCAAGCTAATATCTCATATCAATAGTACCGTAATGATGATCCCCACTGGGTGCTATACATTTGTTGACTTGAACTAGGTTAAGCCGAATAAATATCTGCACCCGCAGATATTTATTCAGTATTAATTTTATTATTATTTAGGAAATTTAATAATTATTAGGGTTCAGTCAGTTATGTGTGATACTTAATATTTATAACTTGTTAGTAGCCTAAGACCTCATGCTAACAAGCAATCTCAAGCAGACTACGGTGACAGCCACTCACACCTTACGGGATATTTCTGTTTTGTGACGGAGTATATGGATCAGTAGCAGGTCTGAAGAGTCGCATGAGAGAACTAGAAAAAATTTGAAAACCATACACATGTGTTTCGTCTTCTATATGTGCAGAAAAAGCTGCAAAAGTGAAGCGGACCTTTCAATTCTCTTTAAAATTGAAGAGATTGCTTGTTAATCACAATGTATAATATTAATAATATATGGGGAGTCGTAAGCAGCCTTTAGATGTATACATAAAATAAGATTTGAAGTAAAGGGCTGTAAAATAAAATAAAATAAAATGCTTTTGAGACGCCCGATTATAACTACATGACTATTCATTTGTATCCTGTCAGACGTGATCATTTTTTTCCTCGCGAAACGTCTGCGATGATAACGAGTTGGCGAGCACTCGTTTTAGAAGTTCAATACTAGTCTTCACGCTGCCATTTTGTGCTAAACTTAACAAAGCTTAGTAAATTGTATATCAGCTTCATAGTTGGGAGAGTTGATTTTAAAGTTTAGGTAAAAGCAATGATACTGAGTATTAAAATTCAAGCCCTCTCCATCTAAAAGACTAGTACTACACATTCTTCGCGCCATTTTTAGAACCACATTTCTTTTGCTTAATTTTTTTTTTCTCTTCATCTTTGAGGAGATTCTCCAGTATTCACTGACATATAGAAGGACTGATATTACATAACAGTTCAGTTCTCTTTTCTTTGTTTCTAACATTTTTTTTTTTTTTGCTTCTTAATACTTTTCTTTTGGAAAGCATCTTTCACTATCCCACTGCACCTTCGGATCTCAGTGTCACACTTTTCGTCCTCTGTTAAACCACTTGTCAGATATTTAAATTGTTCTACTTGTTTGATTTTGATGTCTTCAATTTGTAATTTCAATGTTACCGCCATATTATTTCCATAATAAAGAATAAAATTCATCTTCCTCTTTTTTCCGAAACAATAGCTTTTAAAACTTCTATACAAATCTTATATCCGGAAAAAGTCTATAGATTTCTATAAATATGTAGAAAGTAGATACAAAGGAATAATGTACGTTTTAAAAATATGAAATTAAAAAGCAAGAGAAACAGTAAGAACATAAAAAAATCCTACACTTCTAATAAAATCTTTAAAAATAGATTTATATATTCGTTTTATGAGGAACTCAGATACAAATAAATAGAATCAAGAATATTTAAAACTTAAGATCTGGCTGAGCCCCCCAATCGACTTTTAACATTTGATTTAGCCTGCCCAACACCCGACTTTTTTTTTAATTCTGTGGCGCCGTAACTGTTGACTACACGGAGAAGGCCGAAAAAGCCTAACGATTGAAATGTAATGATCGAGCAAAAAAGGGTGACGATGCTCGCCTAAATATTTAATCGAATATGTCATGTACATGTATTGGATCAAACTTGATGCATTTGACGAAAAAATGTAGTCCTATGATAAAGATTTAGTTTCAAATTGATAGACCAATTATTTTGTTAGTAATATTAATCGTGAATTTCTATAACGGTGGTTGCAGCTTGGATTTTAAGTGGCAGCGGGAGGAATGATGTCACTAGGAACGCATGTCGCACGTTAGTTCAGTATCCCTCCGCGGGTGGTCTTAGCCAGTCGCTAACCTGAGTGTGGGAGGCGTATCGACGCTTCAGAATTATTGCAGCCTTCTGTTGGATTCGCGCCGTTTTAAATTTCTATCAAGACAAAAGCAATCCATCACTGTCAGAACACGACGCCCACGAAACACTCCGGTCAATCGCTGACCATTCTGGCCCTGGGTTTCACATTCTGTAACACCATGAAGCCATGGTTAGAAAGGTAATGAGTTTGAACCTAAATAAGTATACCACAGTATGGCATGCAGAAGCAATAACTACGAAAAATTACTATACCGTTGAACAATGATCAGCATAGATTTGCAAATTATTAATGTATTGATTTTGATTCTCACAAGGTGACTCGTACTTTCGGTCTGGTGCTAAAATTAACAACGACAAAGGCCTCTTGCCGCTTGTCTCATAAGCCATTACGACTATAATGGTATCGATCCTCACTAGGTGCCTCACAATTTTATCCGTGTACTAAAATAAGCTAATCTTGGTAAATACCAATAAAAAGGCTTCTCGCCATGAAACAGTGATTATAAGTCATTACGACTGCAATGAATTCGAGCCTGGCTGACTGCTGCGCACATGACCTTGTGTCAGGCTAAGCTAGACTTATCAACTATAAATAAAGCCAGGCACATCGTTATGGAGCAAATTGTTAACAAGTTAAATGAACATTACTCTTGTACTGAGTTCGATCCTCACAGGGTAATCTACACTTGTGGTTTTGTATCAGTCTAAGTTCAATTTCTAAATATTGATCACTTTCCACGGTGAACGCGAAATAGGGAAAGTAGTAGAGACGGATTTTGAAGAAGCGGCTCGAGTGGAACGGTGTAAAAAAAAAAAAAAGAAAGAAAAAAAAAGTTGAAATAATCGAAGCAGTGTCGATCAACTTAATATTTCGAATTTCCGTGTTTTGAAACCAATTGTAATGACGAATGGATCATCCTAACCTTTCCTTAAATATGTCATAATAGGTGATGAAAAATGGGTTGTATACAACAATGTTCAACGCAAAAGCAGTGGACTGGCAAGGATAAAATTAACCCCCACCCGCTAAACAACGCCAAAAGCTGATCTTTATGGAGAAAAGGTTATGCGTGTAATGGGATCATTGAGATATTTTTTATTTAGAATTCTTCAAATGCATGTCACGCTTAAACACTGGTTCTCGTTCGGTCACCGAAGTTAAGCAACTTTAAACCTGGTCAGCACTTTGATGGGTGACTGCTGGGGAATACCAAATGCAGTAAAGCACCGCGACTGGCCTAACAAGCCAGCGATGGCTACAGTCTCGCTATTATGTCTATCGCCCAGTTCACACGCTTTTCCCGTCTATTGAACAAAAGTAGAGGTTTATTCCTTGTTTACTTTTTAGGGCTGGATTTTCTTCTAAAGTCTTTTCATTCTCTTAGCTTCTTGCGTCTTAGCGGCATTATCGCCTTGCTTGTGGTGAAATTATTAAAAAAATATAGATATGTTGAGCTGCTTCTGGACTTGACAGGTCGCCAGATCTACCCAGTCTTGGGTAAGTGGTGAATTCGTAAAACGCAATAAAACCCTAAATGCACATTTATACGTCCAGCAGCTGCAACGTGTTCATAAAAGTTTGGTCGAAAAGCGTTCTGCGCTCGTCAATATGAAAAAAAATGTTGTTCTCCATGACATCGTTAAGACCACATACAGCAAGAATAAAGCAGGAAAAACATTTACGCCATCCGCCATATTCACCTCACCTTGCACTAGCTGATTATCATCTTTTCGATCGCTGCAGAATAATTGGATAGAGAAAACATTCTCTAAAGAAAAACATATTCAAGAGCTTGAAAACATTTTCGCAACAAAGGCTGAAGAATATTATTCAACAGGTATCGAAACAAGTCATTGCAAATAATGGTGAAAATATAATTGAAAAAAATATAATTGTACTTCTTTTTTTTTTTTTTTTTTTTTTTTAAAGAATAAAGTTGATAAATGCAAAGTGAAATTATTTATGACTCAACCTAATAATAGAAGACTATGACAAAATGAATAAAACGTCAATATGGTCAATGTTTTTGTCTGTCGGATATCAATATTCAAACTTTCTACACTCAACGTAGCTCTTCTTTTCCTCGAGTTTATTATTCCTTCCTTCTATCAAATTACAATGCAATTATAATCTCGATACAATAGGAAATTTAATTCCGATCCGAGACTTAGATTTAAATTCATGTCGATAATACCTATTCTTTTTACTTTTAGCGCTTCCGCGATTGTTACCGTCTGCTGCGTCTCCACATCGAAATATCAAATTAAATTTATTCAGTCGAAATTTCCTTTTTGTTTTTATTCTCTTCAGCGAAAACTAATAAGCAGACATTATACATACTGAAAACAATAGATGCGTTTAAAATTGTCTTCATTTAGATATTAATACGTTTATTGATTTGTATTTCTGTAATTTTATCATCGATATCTCGTCAGTGGCAGCAGAAGACCAAGTGATAGGATGCCTCCACGGAACTTGAATAATTTGTTTTAATGTTTTTAATTATTTATTTTAAATTTGTACCCGCTCCTAAAGAACTATGGTTTGGGTGTTTTTAATTCCTTGGCTTGCCGCTGGATTAAGTGATTGTTTTGTTTGTTGTTGTTTTTTGTTTATTTTTTGTTTTTTTGGTTTTTTACGGCTTATCAACCTTTTGCGGGTTATTTCATGCCATAAAATATTTTTAGATTGTAAGAATTTTTTAAAGATAATAATGATTTACTGTCCTACTAATTAATCCATATCCGGGGATAGAGGTGGATACATACCTTTCCTGAGGGAACTTACACGTAAGTGAATGTAACGAACCCAAATGGAATTAGAACTCGGCTCTCCGATTTCCAATTCCGAGCCGTTATTCATTTCACCACCCGAACGTCCAAGCTTGCAGCACCTGGTATTCTAAATCGGCCCCCCTCCCTAGGTACTGACTAGGCTTGACGTTGCTTAACTTTGGTGATCGTACGAGAACAGATGTTTGAACGTTATGTGGCCGTAAGCCATCTTGCCGTTGGAGCGATTCTACTGCTACAGCCCTCAGCTTAAACACTTCAGTTCTTGAACAGTTTAAATGTTTCTTTCTTTTTCTTTTCACACTGTCGTCCGTTAAAACAGAACCTTTTTATTTATTTTTTTCTATAATAACAAGATCAAGACCCCTTGAGCTGATCCATCTGAATTTGATATTGAATGAATACAAACTGCGATAGTAGTAAGAACTTATTTTATTAAGAAAAACAAAATCTAAGAGTAAGTAATATACATAAAGGGTTAGTCGACTTCTAAGTTTGATTGGAAGTTGTTTGATTTGTTTTTTAGATCTTATTAACCTTTTTTGTGGGTTATTTAAATAAGATTATTTTAAGATTAACAAGAATTTGACCATATATACTTCCTACTACTTATGGGATCCTTGCCCAACATATTGTTCAATGAGTTGTTTTTGATGAAGCACTTTGATCGAAACTTAATAGATATTTTGCTTAAGGTATATATCGCAGTATCAGCGCAAAGTACGGTTTTGAATTCTGAGTTTTCCTTCTCGACTGATTAGCAAACACGGCTAGAGAGTCCAGTTTGCCATGCTATTTAATCCATAGCTGGAGGAAGGAGATAGATTCATACCTTTCCAAAGGGTATTTGCGCGTAAGTGTATGTAACGAACCCGGCTCGAATTCAAACACATCCATATTTAACTGGAAGTTCTATTTTGATAAACAAAACAGCATTAAGAAGACCATGCCTGGCCAAGAAAATATTTATTTAATGTTTGGATGCAGTTGAGGAAGTGCGGTTAGCAACGTGGCAAATGGAAATGACGAACTGTTCAAATTTCGATTGAAAGAGTTTTTGCTGACTTCGCATCACAGGCATGAATCCATCAACTATAAAAAAAATAGCAACGGAGACTGGGCTATCTGGCTTTGATCTGAATTAAAAATCGTGGGGAAGGCAACGAAAAAAAACTACTCCATCTTTCTCAAGAACAGACATAACAATTCGCAGTGTAAACTGGAGAGTCATGATCAGTACAGTATGTATTTGAGTCAGTGTGCTCTGTTTATGTCTCTACCACGCCACTTCATGATGTGAGGAATCATAGCTCTCCACAGCTTCTTCTCTTTTGTTTCTTTCGACAATATTTTCTCCTTTAAAATCCCAACTTTTCTTTGGGGTCCTTGTTCAGACATCCATTTACCAAAACTTGTCAAGTTAGATTTCGCTAATTTCAACGTGTGAATATTAAATTCCCCAAACCTTCTTTCTTTCAAAAATTTCAGTTTTGTCTTTTTGATTATTAGCAGCAATTTCTTTATAGACCTTTTTTTAAATGTCCTCGCATTATCCTTTTTATTGAATTCTCAACATTCGTCAGTAAATATCTGTCTCTTCAATTTTTTTCTTCACCTGTGACAAAATTTATCACCATTGCACTTCTAAGAGCATTTATTGTGATCTTATTGAATAAGTCTCTGAAAATTAGGGGTTTTTTTTGTTTTTAAAAACACAATGGCCGTCTTAATGTTGTCAATTGTTTGATTATTGCCTGGTTAACGTATATCTCGGACAGAAAGTTAACTCACCTTTAGAAATTTAACATTGTCGTTACAAACTGCAGTATGTTTTGTGTGCATTTGAATCTACATGGGGAGGTGAACAAAATGCCAATTTCTCATGCACTCTTTTGTACAAGTGACGTCTAGAATAGCCATGCCGGTTCGGATATTTCAGCTTATAAAAAATAATGTACAAGTTTAAGTAAATTTATGATAGTGAAAATGAGAAGGCTGAGAATAGCAACTAAGAATGCTATAGATGACAGAACTTTAAATTGATTGAAAAGAGGAGAAACTAACGATTTGCTTCTGTTCTGCACACTCTTGCAGAGCCGCCAATAATCTTTACAACCGAACTTCTGAGAGGCTATACGTTATTTCATCCTATCAGCAAACAGTAATTTCACTTCTTTGAGGACTAACTCATTGACAAAGAGACATCTGTTACAATCAGACATGTCGCCCTGGTACAGTCGGAAGAAATGATTCCTGTGGGCTATAGCGGCCGAGCATGCAGTTTTTTTAATACAAGTTCAATAAGCGTAAAACAAAATAATTATTATTGAAAAATAAATGTGCCGGCTAAAATCTAGGGAAATAATTTAATCGTTTCATCTGTTGTATTTGGTTCATAAGTTTTTCGTCATCTGATAATACGCGTCATAAGAGCTCTTTCCTTTTATACCAAAGCATTTAGATATCAAATGGAAGCAAATGATAAACGAAATATAGACAGTTACAAATTAAAATCTCCCAAGATGCTTTATTCGAGTTTTGTCTCAATACTTTTTCTACTGTGAATAAAAGAAAGAATGTGGTTGTAAGAACGTTTCCATTCGTCAATGAATTTTGGTTTTGTTCTCGTTACAAAGCGCTTTTTTCTTCAGAACAAAAACTTAAACATTGAAAACTGTCGACATACTTCTTCAAGCACGATAATTGAAACAAGATGAAAGTAACACCGAATCAACTTGATATTAATCAAATTTTGATGGACAGGCAAGCGCGACTAGCGACTTGGTTAAAATTTTGATGCATATCTACATCCTCGTGACAACCCAAACGATCAACACAGGCGTCTCTTCTCCGTCCCCGTCCTGGATATGACATTAAACTGCATCCGCGTCCTGGGTAAGACGATAAACTACGTCCAACAGCAATACCTCTGATCAAGAGGTTTTGAGGAGCATGGAATCACCTCTTAATTGCTGGTGTTCTCAGGGCCACTCTGACCCGAGGTGGTAGCATCTGTTAGGGTCCCAACTATGGGCAAATAGTTAACCCCCAAATTGGTGTCAAAACACTATGAAAGTGTAAAAATATGTCTTAATACCAGAAATACTTTGTAAAAGAAAAAATTACTATCAATACATTATCAGTAATACATTTTAAGCAAAATTTTACCAGCAGTACTTTTTTGAAAAAAATATTATCAGAAATAGATTTTTTTGAAGGAAAAATATTACTAGCAATACATGTTTGAAAAAACAAATACAGTGTAACCCGGATGTAAGAGGGTTGTCGGGACCGGAGACGAAGTCTCTTATATCCGGGTTTCTCTTATATTCGGGTTTCGTCTATTTTATATACATTAACACAGGCTCTAATTTGGGACCAGAGAAAATCTCTCTTATATCCGGGTCACACTGTATTACCAGCAATAA